CCCCAAAACCCCAAAACCCCAAAACCCCAAAACCCCAAATTTAGACTCTAAGTTGACACTTAAGAAACTATATTTTTGAATACATCCTGTCACCTTCTTCTAGGTTTATCTTTATAACTGGCTGTTCCTCCACTTCATCTAGCAGCTGAGCATTATATGGAATGAATTCATTCTGATAAAATCCAAGGTGGGAGTTCTCAAGGCTGGATTCTCCGATTTGGTCAAAAGAAATAGATGAAAGCTCCTCAAGAAATCCTGGGTCAATTTCTTCTGTAGAGAAAGGAGTATCATAGATTTTCTCAATTTGGTCTGTCTTGCCTTCATGAGCCTTGGAAATGTAGACCATTATCAGGTTCTCTGGAGTCATTTCATTCAACTTATCTTGTATAGCCTGCTCATCAAATTCTTCAAGCATGTAAGGGTAGTACAGTAAGTATTCCATATCAATGCCACGAGATACCAGTTTGTTTATTCTTCAAGCGAGTGATTTAGCTAGAGAGATTGGATTTTGCCTAGATTTGTAATCAAAATTGATCTTGTTCATTGCCACCATTTCATCAAAAACAAATTTCTCGGGCTTAGTTGCTTTAAGCTCATTGATAGCAGAGAATATGATCTTGATAACTTTTTCAACTTCCTCCTCACCCTTCTGTGTGAGGCTGATTGAGATGCTAAACTCATCACATGCTTCAAGGATGTGATTGTTGCCAGCAACCAATTCAGTTACAAGTCCTTCCTGAATTAGGAAGGAGAGCAAGGAGTCCTTGCCCTCATGCCCTAAGACATGAGAGATATAACTCCCTGGCTTACAATTATACATCTTCTTTGTTGATGGGAGAATGAATTTTAATTCAAGCTCTCTGATATCCTTTGTTGGAACTCTATAAAACAATTTCAGACCGCTTAAATTAAGAAATATCTTAAGAATTATTTCTGAGAAGGAGAATTACATTTTATGCATTTTTCTACGATATTCTGGAGGATAAGGGTGAGGCATTGATCTATCTCCTAGTTCAATATCTTTGTCTTCAATGTTTTCAAAATTCTCAATGGCAATTTTTTCAAGATTTTCAAGGGATTCATTTCCAACGATGCAAACATTCATCAAGTTGCTTGAATAATATTTGCTATGAAAGTCCATAAGTGCATCTCTAACACCTGGTTTTCCGAGGGTATCCAGATTACCAGTCTGGAATTTGCTATAATTACTCATCTGCTCAGATCCGTGATACTTCATGACCTGCAATGCTTTTCTGTAATCGTTCTGGTAGTTTTTCCTAAACTCAGAATCAACCGCGTTGATTTCTCTGTCAACACAGGATTCGTCAAATAATGGCTGCTTAAAGAACTGACTGAAGATATCTGTAGCTTCTTCAAGATGGTCATTGGCTACATCAAAGTAGTAATATGTATTTGTAAAACTTGTAGCTGCGTTCTTGCTTCCACCATGCTCAGTAATGAACTTGGAATAGTAACTCTCTGATGGATATTTCTCTGTCCCAAGGAATAGCATGTGCTCTCAGAAATGAGCTAGGCCTTGCCAGTCTTTACTTTCAATAACACTGCCAACTTCTACGCTGAGGCATACAGAAGATTTATCAGCTTCCTGATCACTGACTAGGATGCAGCTGAGGTTGTTCTTCAACTTCAGAAACTTGTAAAGATTTTGGTCGGTTTTGCCTCTAAAAATATTCATATTTTTATACAATTTCAATAATCATGGGATTTTTAGGGGTTTTGGGGTTTTGGGGTTTTGGGGGTTTTGGGG